CAGCCGACAACAGTCTGCAGCCTCGATAGACTTGAAATGCTACATTTAGCAAAGTCATAGGGAAGTTTAGCCTCAGGGCGGACTGCTCCAGCCTGTGGTGACTAATAGTCTCATAAAAGGTAGAAAGGTCAACAAATAGGGCAGCACGTTTCTTGCCCCGAGTTCTTGCAATCTCGAACTGCAAGGCCCGCCCTATACTGACATCGAGGCACGCGCTACCCTTACGGGCGGCGTCCCAGGGTGCCTTGGCGGCAAAACTCTCTAACCATTGCTCCACCAAATAGTACCGCGATTTGATCCAGGCCTTGTAAACCACATGAAGCAAAGCGATGGGACGCTCGATTTGCGGCTTCTTGGCCATCAGAACCACCAGGGACACAGTCCACTGGGCAGGGGCCTCGCCCGTCACCTCGACACGGCGGCATACTTCAGCTATCCACTCGCAAGCATGCAGTGGAAGGGCTCTAAGGACTTGGACAGTCCACCCGTCAGGCCCTGGGGCTTTATTGGGAAGCTTTCGGAACCTTTGAAAGTAGTCCTGTCCCGACAGGGCCATGAGCTTCTTTGCTTCCTCCTTTGCCCTCTGCTGCGACACCTGCATGACCCTCTCGATGGCGCAGTCCGTCGCCCCCCAAATTTCCTGCCACTGGAGGAAACGAAGGTACGGGCGTAGGCCTGGTTCCACATGCCCAAAAGGCCGCACCGTGGTCAACTCGTGGCTTTTGACTGTCCTAAATAAGGGCCTCAAACTCCCTGACTGCGCTTCTTCCAGCCACGCTTGGTATTGGGCCTTGTCCTCAGAGTATTCACTGTCCTTTGCCTGGCGGGCAAGACGCTCAACTTGGTCTATTAGCGGCTGAGCCTCCCCCGAGCCAGTGGCGAGAAACTCAACCATTTGGAACTTGACCCGCTCAGGGTCATCAGCTCCGTCCACCCGGGGAAGCGTGGTGATCCATTCCACCACTGTTCGCCAGCTGTGCCGGCAAGACTCTCCCTGCTGCGCCGCCTTCAGCCAAGAAAGAGCTCTGGCCCAACTATACCTCGCCGTGCGCTTGGTCTGTGGGGCCGTGGGTTGGACTAAAGGCCTTCTTATAATCCTCAGAGTTGTCCCTCTGCCAGAGGGATGTGAGGGTTCAACACAGGCAGAGCAGGCCTCCGACACTCGGGCAAAGTGCTGGGTAGCCTCATCCTGTGGGAGTTTATCCTGTAGCCATTCCCCTTGGAATGGCTTCCCTTCGGTTGGCGGACTGGCCATGCTGTTATGATCGCCCTGCACTGCCTGGGCAACCTCAATGTGCATGCTGTGCTGTTCTAGCATCATGGCAGGGCACAGCCCTTCACCCAACTCAAGTCTCAGGGCGAGGGAAGCGTGGGGCTTGTGTGGCACTGACCAGTCAATCCGCAGTAGACTGAGTGGTTCCAGGGTCTTGTGAACAATGGCAAAGTCGATTTCTCTGCCTTGGTCAGTGGTGGGCACCCCCACCGTGCAAAGGCACCCGTTCATTTCTGCCAAAACATTTGTGGCCGCGATCTCCTCCGGAGGTGTATTGAAATCGCCCGCAATAATCCAGACCCCTTTCCAGTTCCTGACCAAGCTGATTAACTCAGCGAGGATGGACGAGTTGGGCCTGGTGTTGATCGAGGTCCCTGTCTTCAGGTAAACACTGACAACAAGGAGATTCGTATGCTGGAGCCTGACATCGACTGCTTCAAAGCCACATCCTTCTTCCAGGTGAGAACGCTCAGCCCTGCCTTGGATGTGGGATCTTACCAGCACTGCAACACC